TCCCCCGTGTCCCCCCGTGTCCCCGGCCCGGCCGCTCCTCCCGCCGTGCAGTTCCCGTGCTCTCCGTCAGGGGGCGGTGCGGCCCCGCCGGCGGTGCCGTTGACCGGAAGGGGCGGGGCCGGGCGGGGCCGGGCCGGGCCGGGCGGGGGTCCCTGCGGGCCCGGGGGGGTCCCGGCGCGGGGGTCGCGGGCGGTGCCGCTTCCCGGCGCTGTCCGCAGCCATGTGGTCCGTGCTGTGGGCGGCCGTGCGCTCCAAGGCGCCGTACGTCACCTTCCCGGTGGCCTTCGTGGTGGGGCTGGTGGGCTCGCAGCTCGAGTGGTTCCTGCGCGGGGACCCCCCGGCCACGGCCCAGGACGAGAAGAGCATCTCGGAGCTGCGCGAGGACCGCAAGCTGCAGGAGATCGCGGGCGAGGACCTGACCAAGGTGGTGAGCCTGAAGGACAAGCTGGAGTTCGCCCCTCGGGCCGTGCTCAACAGGAACCGCCCCGAAAAGAGTTAATAAAGGGTTCCCGGGGCAAAGGCCGTGCCCCGGAGCGGCCGCCGGCACTGCCCTGGAGCTGCACAGCCTCCACCGGCCCGGCTCCTGCCCCCTGCCCCTGCGGGCCCTCCGGAGGGTCAGGTTCGCCCGCGCCGTGGATGTGGCCAAGGAACAGCCCCCAGACCCCGGTGGGAGCGGGCAGGGGGCCCTGCGAGGAGGTGGAGTGTGGCTGGAACTCATCAGCCCCCGGCCCGGCCTGGCCCCTGAAGCACAGAGCCCTCCTGGCCTGGTTCCACCTGTGTCTCCTCAGGTTTGCTTCTTCCATGGCGTTAACTTAGAAGAAGGTTGGACCTGAGTGCCATGAGATGGGGTCAGGCTGAGCACCGGCAGCAGGAGGAGCTGCTGCCCTGCTTCCAGATCCTCTGTGGCTCTTGGTGAACCCCAACACAGCCCCACGCTACCACGGTACACCCATGGGAGCCTGAGCAGTGGTGGAGATCTCTGGGGACCCCTCTGTGCATCATCCCTGCGAGGAAGGGTGACAGAGGGAGGTGGAAGTCCTGGCCCTGCTCCGTCGTGGCGGTGTGTGGGGAACAGGGGGATCTCTGCCACAATAAACTTCTGTCAGTCCTCAGGCCTCTGTGTCTTCTGCATCAGCACGGCCCCAGCCCTGGCTCAGGGAGTGTCTCTGCTCCCTGTGTGTTCAAGAAGCATCTCCTGCAGTGGGACAAATGCCATCGCTGTCCCCAGCTGGGCACGGCCCTCGGGGCCTGGCAGCAGGGTGGTGGGCAGGAAGAAGGGGTAGGCACTGAAATCCCAGCCTGTGCTGTGGCTGTGCCTCCCTCCTGGCTCCCCTGGCCACGTCATCTGCTTCCCATCCACCTCCTTATCTCGGCAACAGGGGCTGTGTCAGTGCTGGGTGGGGTCCCGGGGGACTGGGGGGGTCCCGCTGGGGTGCTGGGCAGGGAGAGGCTGGCAGGGAGAGGCTGGCAGTGAACACTGGGACTGGTGGCCGGTGTCCCCTCCAGCCTCGGGCATTGCTGGCAGAGCAGGGACAAAGCCTGGCCAGAGGTGCTGAGCAGGGAGCCAGGCCGAGGCCGGGGCTGGGGTTATCTCTGCCTCCCAGCTTGTTTTTTCCCGTGGTGCCTGAGCAAGGCCCCAGTGCTGCCCCAGCCCGGCCTTCCCCTCCCGGGGACCATAAATCTGCCGTGCCTGGAGCAGAGCCCCGAGTCAGCAGCCAGTCAGCGTTTCACACACTCTGTCCTGCAGCCTCGGGGCCAGCTCCTGCCCCGCTGACAGCTTTACTGCCCTGCCCCGGCTCTGTTTGCCTCCCGAGCTGCTGTCCTGGGCTGGATC